TTGCTCCAATCCGACCGCAAAATGCCAAGTTCAAATGGATTGGCCCGGAGATATACGAAACGTAGCTCCCAGCTAAACGATTTATTAATGCAAACTGTCTATCGCCGTTGATGCGGTTGTGGTTTGATTCGCTTTTTGTTTGTTTAATTGAAATGAATTCATTAAGCCTTTGATTTGCCTTGCAAATTGCCCAGATGGATCATGGAGCTGGATTTCGAGCTGCAGCCGCACAGACTGCTCCTTTTTGCCGGCCTTACCTTTGCCTCGTCTCGTCTTTTGGCCCGGCTAATGGTTAACGGGTGATGTGGTGATGGCGATGGTGAGGCTGATGGGTGACGGGGCGCACATCAAAGAGCGGCCAGCTACCAACGTCATGGCCGCTCTACAATAATTTAAAGCGAATTAAATATACGAAAATTAACTGCAGCAACAGTTGCTCCAATTCCCAATTCGATTCCTACTCGGCAGTCGCAACTGTTGCACGTTTTGCATGTCAGGAAAATTGCTTCATTTGTGTCCGCGCGAATGTCAACAAGGAACATGATAAAGCGAACGGACATAATGAGAGTGACTGACTTGGAGGGCTTCACCCTTTTAAGAGTTAACTGGTCAAAGGGCTGACAAGCTAACAAGGCAAATGGGAAAAACAAAACAACAAAAAAAGCAGCTGTTTTTCAGATAATTTCAATTAGTTACCGAGGATGTAGGAAAAGTTTCTGTCATTTGTTTTGGCATAATAAAATGTAACACACCCTAGTTTTATTTAGACTTATTCGTTCATAAACACAAAATAATGGATAGTCAGTCTCTTACTGAATTTTTTATAGAGATAAGCCTTACATTTTTTTACACAATTGGCTATAAATTACATGCATAATTAAAAAATTTAATAATAAATCTTTAAACAAATTAAAAACTATTATTAATTTGGATTTAATTTATTGCTAAAGGGTAAACAATTGAAGTTACCAAGGTACTTAAATGTTTTTAAGTCTAGAGATACCTGAAAGTTAAAAGACTCATGGCCCTTATACCAAGTTTGCTCTGCACAATATCAGGCCACAAAAGTTTTCAATTTTCCTGCAACAATAATAGACTTACCAACGCGTTATGGCTACGTGACTGCCCCGAAAACTTTGGCCAAGAATTCTGGTCGTGCGGCAAATCAAGACTATTGCACCCATCGACAGAACTATGAGTTACTAAGGGTTTTCTTGATGGAATAGGGCTAATGGCACGTGCTTATCGCGCATATCAGCTGGCTTTATGTCGCCCATCGAGTGATTGGCCCAAAGATTAAATAAGTGTGCTGTAAAAATTGAATTTGCACTTGAGTTACAGGCTTTTGTATTTATGAGCTGAAGCCCCGGGGCTAAATGCTTGGCCAAGAGACTCGAGGGCAATTATGCAATTGTTTGTGGGCAAATAAAATCATGCCAAGTATTTTTTGGGGGAAACTGTTGGCCGGGTTCTGGGGAACTAAAAACTCCAAATCGATATGCAAATAAACGAATGAGGCGTACACACAAATCGCAAAAAACGAGCTGGGCTGAGCTGCCACGCCCCCCCGCTCCTTGGGCCCGGCCTCCACTTTCATGGCCACAAAAAGAAGTTTTGACCAAATTCGTCGTAGTCGTCGTCGTTGTCGGGACCTGCATTCGGCCAGATTCTTTGGATCCATTGGATCCATTCTCTGGTGGTCCTCCGTGGGTATTTTGTTGTTGCTGCTGCAATTGCTATTGCTACCAATTGTGCATGCAATTTATTTTTAAAGAAATAATTGCTTTGCCGCATGTTGGCCAGCTCAGCTCAGCTTGGTTGAGCTGCCTGCGATTATGCAAATATTAGTAGACCGTCGTCCCAGTCGTTGTTTTTGCTGTTCTTGCTGTTTTCGGTCGGCATTCCTATATAATAATAAAGAACGGCAAGTGAAAGAGTGGCCGGTGTTTGCATATAATCTAATTTGAATTTGAATAAGCCACACACAGAGTCTGGGATTGCATTTGGCCAGTGCCATCTTCCCCCTTCTCCACGAGACACTCTTCGCATAAATCAATATTGGCAAAAATAATTCACATTTCCACACATTGGTTTTAAGGTGGGGCTATTTGTGACACTGCCTGAAAGTATGCCACAAAGTGCAATAAAGATAAGCTCCCTGCTCATAATTTATAATGGAAGGAACGTTTTCCTTCTTCTGATTTAAGAGTTTGTGCATATATTGTGCAAGGAAGTCAATTAAAACGGCGTTAGAATTGCTATTTACGGTCTTTGGTATTTTTTCTTGATTTTTAGTAGCACTTTTGGATCTTGACAGAATCACATTGTTCCGGATTGAATAAATAAGTAGGTACATTAGTTAATTTATTGTTTAAAAAGATCTAAATAAATTCAAGAATTATGGTTAAATTAATCCAAACACATTTACAATATACCCATTTTTTTAGATTTTATTTAAATTATGTCCATATTTGAATGTTAATTATATTAAACTTAACTACATATAAATAAATTTTAAGTTTTTTGGGGATGCTGATTAGGATAAGAGTTGTATGTACTTTAATCTATGATTTCTTTAAAGCTAAATATGTCTTATTCTACACCCAACAAAGGTCTTTTTAAAATATTCCTTATAATTAAACGAAGGGTTTGAGGATTTATTTCTGACCATCTTCTTTACGGTCATCGCAATAATTAAAAAGTTATGATAGTATATAAATTAGCCAACTAAGAATTAAAGTTTCGCGTAAGTTTAATTTTTAACACAGTTCCCACTGTTTTCGCTGATTCCTCTGTATTGCCTTGGAGTACACTCTCGAGCTTTCCCTGTAAATAACTGATTGATAGCAATCGCTGAATCTGGAATACAAGCCCATTTCATTTGAGTACTGTTCGCAGAATTCCCTCCATCCACTGCGAAAAGAGCAAACATTTGTGGCCAACCCGCAACTTTCAGCGAGAACTTTAAAACACGCCAATTCGTTTATTTTATTCGACTTTGATGCTTTTTTGTTTTTTTGGGGATTGGTTTTTTTTTCGGGTTTGGTTAATGAAAGTGCCAGTAAATGAAATTGGCATCGCGTTATCCGCCAGCACGTCCGAACTGGCCTTATGTGGGCCCCAGCCAGAGTTTTTATCTTATAAAACAACAACAGGCACTTAAGTGTTATATGCCACCGTATTACAAATGCCGGTCCTCAAAATCGGGATGGCTGGATGCTTTCTGTGTGTAGCCAGTGTTTCACTCGTTCTCGAAAGGCAACGCAGCATATATAAATGAAGAAAGCTGATAAGAAGGACGGGCAAGTTGCAAGTGGCAAGTGGCAAATGGCAAATGGCAAGGCGGAGAAATTGCTGCCCGCATATGAATCCGAGCTGGTATGAAATCCGAAATTGAATGCAGGGCTCGTGGGTTCGTTCGCCAGGTGACAGGCAGTGGTATCATCCACAGGTGGAGACCACGGAATCGGGGCACATATTAGCAATTGCCTGGGGCCAAACACTCTGACATGGGTTGCACCACCACTCGCCGGGGGCAGTGTAGGCGAAAATGAGTCGGACGCGAAGCCCTTTCCACGCCTGGGTGTTGCACCCATGTCAGACCACATCCCCACATGACAACTGGCGTTAACCACCAGGTTGGATTCGTCGGATCGGATTGGATCCCAACCCAAAGAAATAAAGAAAGTCTCGCGGTGCCAAAGTCGCAAATCATAACGTATCATATCGCCTCGTATCGTGGTATAATTTTTAATGAGTTGCAGCACCGCAACACCAATTTTTATTTCCGTTCATTATTTTTGGCATTTCCCTTATCTTTCGCACGTTTATATGCATTCGTTTCATTCCCTTTTCTGCGCTGAACTTATCAAGGAAGCGTCATTGTCTGTCCGTCTCTGTCAGTGAGTGTTTTGGATATGTTTGCCAAAAATATATAAAACAAAAATAAACAAGGTAGAAAGTCTTGGGTTTAAGGCCAAAATGGGAAATACTCTTTCAGATTATAATATCGATGAGACTTATATATTAAAAATACTAGCTGAATTAAATGTAGTCACTTGTCACTATAGAATAGTTCTTTTTTTGTGTTTTTAAGTGTTATTTTTGAATTGAAGATAACGTTATTTTATTATTACTTTCTTCAACTATATTCCAAACAATAATTATTGTCAAATTTTGTTTCCCCGCAGACCTGATCTACTGTCTAATAAACTCGGAAGATAAAACATCCCGTAGCTCCCTTTTCTTAAATTATTCAAAAGACAATAAAATTGTTTGTAATATTGCTATTAAAATTAATACCATTTTTATTTTTTTTAAGATACCAAAATCTTTTTAAATTTAAAGTAACATACATATATTATAATATTTTTGATACACTGACTTGTGCTTTTAAAACTTATGTCTTACAAAAAGGCATAACCCAGTTATCTCTTTTTAATAAGAAAACAGAGTTGAAAGTTGGATTACCCTCTGCCAGGGTAAAACAAACATCGTGCCGAAAGTGCCAAAAATATCAAAACTTATTTCGCTGTTCTGCCAAAAGCGATTTCTTGAGCTGGAAAGGTGAGCGTGGCCAATTAGGAGCCGCGGCCATCGGCATGCAAACATTTGCGCCTGTTTGACCAGTTGCGAGTTGGCCATGCCAAAGCCACTTCCGTCACATAATAAATTCATAACAAATCACACGGACGCAGCGCCAAACACCGGCTCACACGGCCAGAACATGCGACATTATAATGCCACATTATGTTGCCAGTGCGTGAAAGAACCGTACATCAGAACATCGAGGCGACAATAAATCAAAAATCCGCACTCACACATGCAATGTGGTCTAAGTCCCCGTCTCCAGTTCTGCAGTTCTTCAGTTCTCCAAATCCCCAAGGCTGCCGGCTCGGTTTCTGCGTGTACATATCTGCTATTCGCAAAATTATTACACTTGACATGATTGAATATGCCGCTGAGTACCAGTTCCAGATCCCCAGTTCCAGTACCAGTCCCATCTGCAGGTTGTTCCCTCCAACCTCTCCTCGATTCGCGGTTCATGTAGTTGCGACTGGACATACATAGTTTTTTGAGGTCTCTGCGGACAATTCCCGTTTCCCGATTGTATGTTGTTTTGCAGTAAGTTGACATGCCGCATAAATGTAAGAGAACGAATTATTCGGCATAAAGTACACTGTTCGCAGTAATCATTTATGAAATAATTAGGAAATATAGCTTATCACTTTTGCAAATTTTTGAAAAACCCCTTTTTAGAAATCTAAAAATCAGCCCCCATGAAAAAGTAAATACAATAAAGTTTCTTGTTATAAATATATTAAATAACTTCTTATTTTGGATCAGTCAATTTTTATAGAGCCAAAAAAATAGTATTGCAAAAATAATCAATATAAGGGGAAACCAAATGGGATGTTTTTTGGGTAATAAAAATGTATAGAAATTTTACCGAATGTTAATAGTTAAGGAACTTACTGTCAGAATATGTAATCTATTAAATTCATTTGTTTTCTAGGCCTTCAGTGACAGTAACACCATCCGCTGGACTCTACTTGCTCCTCCAAGTCTAGAATCTTTGGTGGAGTTTGGGCAACCATCTCGTGGGACAGCCAGAACCATGTGGTACTCCACGGAGGGCAAGGAGGAGATCGCGCTCATCAACCAGGGCTACCGCCTCCTGGCAGAGTACAATCTGGTGAAGGAGGAGCTGAAGAACATCTATGCGATTCCCAGCTATGCCTCCGGATTGTGTTGGTTCGGCGTGATCTTCGTGCACGGAGGAATCTATGCGGGCAGTGTGTTCCGCTTCTCCATTGTGCTGCCTGACAACTTTCCGGAGGACGTCATCCTGCCCACGGTGGTTTTCTCCTCAGTGGTGATCCATCCGCACGTCTGTCCGGAAACCAACACGCTGGATCTGTCGCCGTTTTTCAAGGAGTGGCGCAAGGATCAGCACCACATTTGGCACATCCTGCGGTATATTCAGGCGATCTTTGCCGATCCCGAAGGCAGTCTCTGTACCGGACCCGCCGGCGATCTCGTCGTCATGGATGAGGTCGTCAATATGGAGGCCCTAAACTTGCTGGCCAAGAGTCGAACCGAGTATATCAAACGGGTCCAGGAACGGGCCATCTTCTCGCAGCTTCACATTTACGACCAGCCGCATACGGATGATTCGCACTACATTATCTTGGAACCGTATTGTCCAGAACGGCATATAAAGTTCATGGACCACCTAAATAGTCCCAGCTGGAAGGAGGCCACGTCCGTGGACTGTTCCAGTCCGTCGGAGTTTTTGGGACACATCGATTCCTCCAGAGAGCTGGATGAGGAGGAGGTAACTCATCTGGAGAAGCTCCAGCACGGGCAGAACATGGAATCCCAACGTGAAGAGACTGTGGTTTCTTAGTAGATGAATGAAGAAGCTAGGCAATAAAATTAATAAAGTATAGTTTTTATATAACAAATGCTTTTTGTTGCTTTTGTATCTTAGTTTAAACTGTAAACAAACAGCGTATTAGCATATAAAATTTATATATAGATATGTAAAACAGTAAAAATTGAAAATTTTCATATTTATTAACAGTTCCTCTAAATATTTGTTTTTGAAGATATTTTCCTGTAAATTATATACTTATGTATTATTTATTTTCGTTATGTTTCCATGGCCATTATTAAACCTTTAGTATACTGCTGATTTTAAGTGTTGTTCGACCGTAGTTAATACACTAAATGAGCAGTTTTGGCATCGTTTTAATAGTTCTTGTTTACAAATTTGCAATTAACAACACAAAAGGGCAAAACAATGACCATTGAAAAAACTATGTTTTAGACAGCATTGTTCTTGTTTCAATTAACAGTTTTTCATCCTGGTGTTTGTGTTACCCTTTAGTGCTCAGAAATAATAGGAAACCATTTTAGTAAGTGGCCACTTATTGTATCAAATTTCTAATTGACCACAAAATGATATAATTTATAATCGAACTCCAATTTCTCCCAGTGACTCACAACTTCATGTGTGCGGGTACGTTTGTATGTATATCCCATCCCCGTTTCGCCACATTAGCGATGTTAATAATGTCATCTTTCAGGTGCAATAATCAAAATAATAATAATTATGACTCGTTGCCCGTTGGCAAAGTGAAATGCATTCCTGTTTTCCCGCTTTTAGCTCCCTTCCCTTTGGCGAACGCATTTTAAGGCAGTCGCTTGCATGCAATACAGTGATCCTTAAAATGATAGCACTACTTTTAAAAGGTAATTTTGAAAATAAATACTGAGTAGAATTCCTTTTTTGAAAATCGTTCTGTTTTGACTTTTATTGAAATATTCTTAAGAGTTATATTTTCCTTAAAATACTTATTAGTTATTTATCATTTTGAACTTATTTATGAACTCATTTATCATATTGAATGTATTATAAGACATTCTTTATAAAATTAGAAAAATTTGTTTGGTACAGGAATAAAAAATAATCGGTTTTTGAGAACTGTAGACTACTCTGATATTCAAACTGTTTTGTTTCCAGCTTAACTGATTTTTGCAAGAACAATAAGAGTTTTTTTGACATTTATAAATGATATAATTCTTAAATATCGACTATTTTACTACATAACTTTTTTAATACATTTTTTTTTGATACGCAAAATCCAAGGGTTTTATTAATAGTGTGCTTGTAAAACTCCATTTTAAGACACTTTAATCAATCTGTTGTTATGTACATTTTATGTATGTATTTTGAGACATATATTTTTATGATCGCTGCTGTGCTTAACGCATCAAAAGGCTGCTTCGCATGCATGCAGCTCAAATGCAAGGGAGACGGCATCGTCAGTTGGCGCAAATATACAAAAGTGACAATCTGATTTATCACTGCACTTTGCCAGCAACATCGTCCGTGGCCAGGCAAGCTGGTTTTCCCTTCCCGGATCCTCCATTCAACCGCCTGCGTTTTCCTCCTGCTGGTTCCCCAAAATTGCTCATGAAATTATGGACGATAGTTGGCAGCCATATTTTAGGCCATTTCGCTAACGGGCCTACTAAGTGGGCGACTATATCACAGTCGGGCAGTGCATTTGAACTAATTGCCTGGGAAGCAGATCTTCTGCATATGCATTTCCGGATTTTACTCCACCATCTAAGGACAGTGAGAAATGCGCGACAAGCGAATTTCACCAGTTAAGGAAAATGTGTGGGAGTTGCAATGCGACAAATGGGAAAACAGATTACATGGCCATTTGTATTATTTTATTGATATAATCAGGACCCATTACAGATTTTCTTGAAATAATATAATTATAATTCAAACTAGATATGCTTTCTTTATAAGCTTTAAAACGGTGTTGGTTTTAATACATTACATATATATTTTATAACTTTAACCTACGAAGATAAAATTGTGCAATAAAATTTGACCCAACATAGTAAAAACATGTTCAAAAGTAAAACAAAACACTTTATGAAGTATAAGTAAAACAAAATTTGCATGAAGCGTTAAACTTTTTAAAATGTTTTGACCTAGTCCTTGCACCTTAAACTTTTTCTAGTTTTCTCTATATAGAATGGATTTAAAACATTTTATCTCCAATGTAGATGGTCCTACCAAACAGTATGTTTGCTAAGCCCTCTTCAACAATATTGTTCTACATATAAAAATTAAGTCACGTCCGGTTGGGGAGCCGCCCAACATTCATTGGCTGCCTTTATTGAGTGGGCGTTACGGCAAAAATTAAGACATATTCGTAAGCCAAACAGCAGATACAACAGCACACAACAACGTTAACGTTAACGTTAACAATTAAGTTGTAATAAATTTAAGCGGCATCGCGTGGGCAGGGAACAGTTTGGCTCATGTTAATGGTCTCAACTTCAATTAAAAGGCCATAAAGAACTGTTTCCAGACGGGTGACAAAATATAAGGTTCCATTGTATTGAACTTCGTTTTGTCGGGTTTTGTTTTCGGGGTCTCTGTCCCCAGTGGAATCGAGCATCGAGAATTGAGAATCGGTATTGGAATCGGAATCGGCATGCCCCCGCCGCTGCAGTTATCAGCAGCCATCAAAACAATTGCCACCATCGTGGTGGCGGATGCGACAATGATCATCGCTCTGGTCTGTAGATGGAGATGGAGGGGGAATGGAGGGGGGTGGAGATGGAGATGGAGGGGCGCGGGCGAGGGTGGTCTGTGGGTTCGTTAGCTCCGCATTCGTTTGTCTGACAAGTTGGCGGGCTGACTAACCTAAAACGCCGCTGCCGCAGCGTATTCAAGTTCAATTGCGCCAACAGGTAAAACGGACGGACAAGACTACCAGACGTCACTGAACAGTGGAGCTAAACACTAAAAACTAACTAACAAATTCAGCCTCCGAAAATTTGGCTAATTTTTTCCTCAAACTAGATTGTAACTTTTTATTACAATTTTGTTTTTTTTTTTTATTTCCTTCGAAATGGGTAAAGAATTTTATAATATTAATAGCAGAGAATAAATATGTTTTAGTGACTTAAAGAATTTATTTAATTTGGTAATATTAAAAGAGAGAAAGCAGAATTTATTTAATTTAATTTTTCTATTTACAGCTTTTTTTACCGCTAACTTCAAGCCAAATAATACCATAATACCAAATGATACCACTTTATGTAGATAGAGCCGTTTAGTTACATGTATAACATATAATCAACATTAAAAAAAATAAATTTAGTTGGTTGCTCATACTTAATACTCAGTTCGGTTCAGGCTTAAATTTTTAAATTATTTTATAAAACGTACCTTCCATAAAAATTAATATTAGGTAATTTAAAAGGTACTTCTATGAATGAAAAGTAATTATAAATATATTAATAAATCATCTAAGCTAAAACCTGATAAAGTTTGACAATTTGAATGTGTTTAAGAAGAAATGCTAGCTAGTTTTTTCTAATGTTATTCCTAACTTTAAAAGTTATAAATGAATTTAAAGCCACTGTGCAGCCTGCGGGCAGAGCAGATTGAACTCCTGCTCGGATCTGCGGCAGCTTTTCGATTTCCTTGGAAAACCGCTAGAGACCGCCGACCCCCGATCTGCTCTGCTTAGCATTCCCCGTCGCCCTGACCATGGAGTCTCTGACTTCCAGACTTCCCAAAACCCTAACATCCCGACTTCCCCACTTCCCGACTACCCGACTTCATCTGAGACTGGCTGGCAAAGACACAGATTGGTATTTATATGCAAGTTCATGGCTCGGCCGAAGCGCGCACACACATCATCATCGATTATAATCGAAATGGGATTGTAAATCAAATCGCATTGAATGGTAGTGACTTTAAAATGGGCTTCATTATCGCCGGTGCCCCAACCGCGGATCCAGCCACGTCCTGCCTTGAGTTTCAGTTTGTCGATGTTGCCTTGCTTTTGCTATTGTCGGCGTTTTGGCGAATCGCAGTTCGGCGTTCGGCATTCGGCGTTCGCGGTGGCTGAAGTGACATTCAATGCCATAATTTATGAGTTTATCTTTTTCGCGCCGCCAAATCGTACGCTAAATGCTGTCTGCTCCGGCGCGGTTTTGGTCTCAGACTCAGTTTCGATCCGCGAACCATATTGCCGGGGAATTGGGGATGTGAATGGGGATGGGGACATATGTATGCAAACCAACGGCAAACAAACGAAATGTGCATATTTTATGGCACTGCGGACTGTATTGCTTCGGCCAAATGCAAAGCCTGAAGTTCCGATTCAAACTCTGCAGTTGCTGTTGTCGTTGTCGATCGTTTAATGTCGAGCAATTAAAATTGGAGTTTTTCGTGTGGCGGCGGCACATTCGCGTATAGTAGACCCTTGGTATTTGGTATGTGCTGCAGCTTATGAGTTATGGCCCTCGTTGTCGGCGGCCCTGCATAGCTTTTTGTGCTGTCAATTTCGCCAGTGCCATTAGATACGACTCGGATATATATTGCCCAGCTGTTGGACATGCTGGCATTAAAAACGCAGGGGGGAAATGTTGAAAAACTCCTGTATTTGCATGGAATGTATGCTTTTTATGATGTACTTAAAATACAAGAAGCTATGCAAAATAAATAAAGCTTGAACATTGTAATAAATTATAAAAACCAATTTTTTTATAGCCTATTTTGTACCTACAGAATCTAAAGATTTAGAAAAAAGTAGTAAAGGTAGATTAAATTTAAATTTGAATAATCTCCAACAATACATATAAATGTACTTCAGATAAATAACACTAACAAATCTAACAAAGTTCAAGCTAATAAATATCCTAACCTATAATATAGGTTAATTACTTAATTTTAGTTTCTCTCTAATTCTGTGAAAAAACTATAAATGAAATTAAATTGCTTCTTCATTTTATTGCATTGGGTCATTTAAGCTTCATCAGAACAAAAACAAGCTTCGTGATGTAAAGTGTGGTTAATGCAAATCATTTGTGAAGTTTTAATCGATTTATATCACTCTAAAACCAGCACACATAAATACCG